AGAAGGATGGTGGTGGCGGTGCTGTTAACAATGGTGGTGGCAGTTGACAATTGTGATTGTAGTGATAATGGTGGTAGGTATGGTTATGGTGGTGGTGGTGGTGGTGGTAATGGTGATGGTGGTGTAAGAGGTTAGGGTTTGTAGTGTTAGGTGGTGGTGGTCACTTCCAAGGATAAATGTGTTTAGAAAGATATGAATTAAAAATATTCATTAAAGATGCAACTCCGCTTTTTGTTAAAACAACCTACATGCTATTTTTAAAAGTTGTTGTCTGGAGGCTATTACAATTAAAATAAGAAGGATATTTATTTTTTACCAAACATTTTTTTACTGCTTAACTTTAAAATGAAACAGCTTTTGGTTAAAAAAAAAAACAATACAAAACTAGGCCTTAGAAGTATCACTTATAGAATCTTTTTAACTGAAAATTAAAGCATTCCTAGCTAAATTTGATGGCAATTATGTAGATTATACATGGTGTTGTTACTTTGCTTACAAAGATGGTGGAGGTGGAATGACAAAATGTGGTGGATGGCAAAATTGGATAACCAAAACTTCCCTTTTGCATAAATTGCTCCAGCTCCGGATGAAGTAAGAGACTTGTTTCAAAACAAAAAGGGTAAATTATCAATTTAATCGCTAAATTATCATCTTAGTAAAAATTAGGTCTTTAAATCAGTCAATTACATCCCTAATATTAGATTCAAAAATATTATATTCAATTTTACATCAATTTAAGTCATGTACTTGCACATGACACACATGGGAGAGTAGATTTGTAATTTAACGTAAATAAATAGTATATAGAGTTCACTTTAGATGGTAAATTAAACGTTAGATTTGCAACCTATATGAAATGTTAAAGGCTTATAGGCGAGGAAAAAAATGGTATTACACTCTAAAGTATGTCAAGTAATTTAAGTTGACAAAAAATTGGATAAAATAGCTTTGAATATAATAGTACGAATAAAATTAGCAATTTTTGATGAATTTAGAGACTTATTTTACCGAAAAAATAATTCAAGAACCTAATTTTCACTAAGATGATAGTTCAATGACTAAATCGACACTTCTACCAAACAAAAATATCATTTCATTATAAAAAGCCGATAAATGGTGGAGTGAATTGCTCGAAGATCCTTCTAAGAATGATCATCTATTTTTCAGATAAACAAGTCATCTTTTGCATAGGTTGATTCATTGTAGTGGGAATGAGACATTTAATTTGCATTAATGGTTAGCCATTTAGCACTATGGTTTAGTGATATTTTTTTATGCTTGTAAGCGAGAGGTCTTAGGTTCGATTCTTGCTAGAGACAAATTTGGACCACATTATTCCTAGCCCATTGTGAGGCTAAGCCTACCTCCTCTCACTTAGTGTAGATAATATCGTTTATTAAAAAACAAAATTTGCATTAATGGCCAAGATAAGGGCAATCAAGGTCCTTATTTTGAGGACTTGTATAAATCAAATGCATATTAGCCACAATATTATATTAGTTTAGATCCAAAGACTTAAAATATTTGACAACTTAATAAACCAAAACCAACTTAAAATCCATGAATCATTAGAAAACTCACTTTCTTGTTTTGGTTTACTAAGTTGTGAAATAATTTGTATAATTAACCTTACCGTTTATATATGCATGACCATTTTTTATACTAACTATTTCATTTTATATGTTAAAATAAATAAAAATAAATAAAAGAGCTGAATGTGAATTTCTTAATTTGTAAAAAAAAAAAAAAATAAAACTATTGTTCGTGACATAGCAATTAAAGTGTCCAATACCAAGTGCTTGTAATACAATGGATAGGATTATAGATACGCAATTGTTGTTTGGTGTTGCATACGACAACTTATGATTTAGTTTATAAGATGTTAAGTTTCTATATATGTGTTCAGGGTTCAAAACTTCACTTCTTTTAAATAATTCTAATAATTTTGAACTCTTCTCTTAATAATAATAATTAAAAAAAAAAAAAAAGGTTTGGTTCATGTGGATATGAATCATGTCACCGTATTTTTGGAATAACTAAAGGGACTTACATCTATGCTATTAAAGTAGTTCCACCACTGTGCATCCCCTAGGGGACGTGGCATAATCCTCTCTTTCCCCTCCAAAATTGGTCTCCAGCCCATTACATCCAATGGGCTCCAAGGGACTCCAGTTAGTCTCCCAGTCAACAATTGCTTAGCCCAATCTCTAGGCCATGTGATGCAAGATGACAATTCTATTAATTTAGTTTTATTTTTTTTAAATTAATTAAAAATATAACTATAAATTCCTAATCATGTTTTTCCACTACACAATCAGTATTTCAAATACTTTCAAGCAATATTTTATTATTATCATAAATTTAAAATAAAATTATGTTTTATTATTTTATAATAAATAATAATATTTTAATATAAATTCTTTGGGCTATTCAGGGTAGAGATGCATTTAGATAGTTAACATTCATTATAGACAGTTACCATTCACACGAGTGAATTGAATTGACTATTGCCCGAGACACTTTTTGAGGTGGAAATGCTCTTAAGATGTGAGTAGCATGTTCACCCCACTCAATTTCACTTCCTATTAATCAAGATAGTTTAAAATATCATCTTATTAAAAGGGAGGACAAAACTTGAAATGAGATAACTGGTGGCAATCCAATTATGGCCTAGACATTAGGTGTTAGTCCCTAACTTGCTGCCCAACTAGTGCCTAACGTCATTTCAAACCTTGGCTGCACCACCTCTATTTGGTTCTATGACCATACAGGTGCTCTTCTTGCAGAATTTGCCAATATGTTCATGAACGTTGCTGCAAACGCATACCGAGGACAACGTTCTCAAGATAGCTGAGGAGATAATAGCAGCACCGATGGGTCTGATGAACCGAGAATACGGATTGGAGTAACGCCAATTTGAATTTTGGTGGGCAAATACCTGAGGACCTATCTGGAGTTTTGAGATCAGTGAAGGAAATGTTTTTCTGGAGGAGCTACGTCCCATGGAAATTCACAAGATACTACGAGTTAAAGGCCAAGACCAAGCTAAAAACCTACAACATGTTGGAACTGTATAAATTCTCACATCTTTTCTTTTTGTATCATTGCTAAGGTTCTAAAAGATGATGGGCACTAGTTGGGTGGTGGGCTAGGCGGGGCTTAGGCAGACTAGACGGATTTGAGTAAATTTATTTTATATAGTATAAATAAGTGTACTGATACTTAAAAAACACATAATTGTTTACATAAATTGCAAAATAAAATAACATAAATTATTAGAATATATTGGAAAACGTATAATAAGTGTCCATTGAGGTATTTAACAAGTCTCTTACATTCCATTGAACAAATAAAATCTAAAATGAAAGTTAATTGATTTTCTGTCTAAGTAAGAGTCACGATTTAAGCGGGTGCTTAAACGGATTTAGGCGGGCTAGATAGATACTTAAAGGGGTCTAGGCACATTTTCTTGCCTAAGAACTAATTGGGACAGTGACCAAACTTTTAGCGCCTAAGCAAAACCTAAACGATGCTAGACGGAAATTTTTAAAACAATATTGCCATCAACATGCCATCAACATGCGTTTAGGGACGGCATCGAAACCTTAGGAAATGAGACCAAACAGGAGTATTAACACACCTTTGTCATTTCAATTAATGATTCAAAACGTAGTTTGGTAATTTGGCAATGATTATTTAGGTAGGGAAATGTACAAAAAGTTGGGGACAAAACTTATCTTCCCCGTTGCATGCACATTTGTTCATATCTTATTCTCTTCACATGATTCACATTGTATACATTTTGATTTGTTGGTTTATCTATCTTATCACATGATAATTTCATGACATACTTCTGCCATATCGGGTTTGTATGCACTTCGTTCCCATCCCTCTTGCGACAAGGGTGTATGCATGCCTTACACCGAAGTTTTTCTCCAATCAGTTGAGTGCTTTTCAAAATTAATAACTAATTCCAAACCTAACTAATTTGGTGGCCTAGCATCACCATCCTGCTTCTTATCCTCTTCTTTCATGTTGCGCCACGTGGTTAGACCAATGTACACTCATTCAATCAATAACAACTTTTTTGTTTTTTCCTCTCAAAAATGGTTTTTTTTTTCTCCTCCTTTGACGAAAACGATTGTCATCTTACCCGTAAGGAATCATTCTTCTTTGATTCTTCTTCATAGACGATGTAAAACTCAACACTATTTTAATTTTGTACCAGTTAGGCTGTAATTCAAACTTAGGACTTGAGAGGAATGAATTCTTACTTATAAACAATGCAACGTTCTGGTTCTTCTTTTCTAATAGCAAAATAGAAGGCGGAGATGTGAGTTAGATTTGTTTGTTAAATTAGCATGTTCGTCTCACTCTGTCCTAATTCAGTTTCACTTCCTATTAATTAAGATAGTTTAAATGTCATCTTATAAAAAGGGAGACAACTTGAAAAGAGCCATTCTTACATTCTTATTAATCATAATTTAACATGTGTGTAACAATTTCTCTTGTTATTTAAAATTTTTTTTCCTTCCGGATTTGGAGAGGTTATGGAGAATTTCATCCTGCTCGTGGCTACATTCAAACAGCCTCACCAACTTGGAGCATCGAACCTGAAACTTTCCATATTTTTTTGTTTATTGGAGAGTTACAATTCGCGTCCTGACCACTGATCCACTTGCTGTGGTTATATCAAATTGTGACTACATTCAAACAGCCTCACCAATTTGGAGCATCGAACCTGAAATTTTCCATATTTTTTTGTTTATTGAAGAGTTACAATTCGCGTCCTGACCACTGATCCACTTGCTGTGGTTATATCAAATTGTGATTTGACGGAACTAGAAATACAAAAGAGCCAATTTAGAGGGTAAATAGAAGACAAAATAGTGGAGCATAGGGTGCCGTTATTCAAACCCACATGGGCCGCAAGCACCATATCTGGTCGTACAAATACCCACATCGTACGGTCCATATTAACTCGATCCGCGCCGATAACCTAACAGAAAAAAACAAAATAAAGCTCCAGTTCAGTCTTCAGAGACTATTTCAGTCGGTCCGAAAAGTCTGAGACTTCAACTCCCCTTCCTCTCGATCTCTCCGCCTCTCAGCCTTCCCTCCCTCACTGCTACTAAACGACCTCGTTTGGATCCCAGTTCTTCAGCTCTTCGCTCTCTAATTGCTCGCATTTCTTGCAATGCTGATGAGTTGAAGGTCGAATTCGGTTTCTGGGGCTCTGGCTTGAACAACAAGGTACTCCAAAGCGCAATTAACACGGTGAATCTGCTTTCCTCAAAAGTTGTTTTTATGCTTTTTCTTTGGGGTTTCTGCTTCTCTGTTATGTGTTGTTGCAATGTGCGATTTGTAGTAGTTTTGTTCTTTCGTTCCACTGCTTTTGTGCTTCAGTTCATGACATGCTTTGCTTACAATGTAGCAAGAATGTTATAAATTTGAAAAATGAAAAATAAATGTGAGCAAATTATTAAAATTTGGAATAATCAAAACGGTTTAAATTTCTTTATTTTTTAAGTTTTTTTAGTGTAATTGTGATTGAATAAAATGTGACTGAATTTTATTAAATTTTCAGGATTGAAATTTGGATTTTCATTTGGGAAAAGATGGGTCCTTACATTGTTGGTGCGTTTATTCCTCTGTTACTAACTATAATAGTTCAGAAATCGAAGAAAGCGAAGCAACGGGGTGTGCCCGTTGATGTTGGTGGGGAACCCGGGTATGCAATCCGAAACCATCGGTACACTGCCCCAGTTCAAACACTATGGGAAACTGTTACAACTCTTGCAGAGCTTTTCGAGCAGTCATCCAAGCGGTTCCAGGATAAATGCCTTCTTGGAACCCGAGCATTGATTGCAAGGGAGGTTGAAGTATCAAAGGACGGAAGATCCTTCGAGAAGCTTCATTTGGGGGAGTACGAATGGCTAACATATGGACAGGCATTTGAAGTTGTATGCAACTTTGCTTCCGGTTTAGCTCAACTCGGGCATCAAAGGGAGGAGAGAGTGGCAATCTTTGCTGACACTAGAGAAGAGTGGTTTATTGCATTGCAGGTGCGTTACTTACCTGCTCTTCTTACATAAAATTATGTCTTACATGCTCTTCTGACATACAATTAATCATTCTTCTGACATTCATGAGATTCATTTATTGCTTCACCTTGAACTTCCTGAGAGCATGATTTTTTTTTTTGCACGTATGATGTGATTTTAATTTGTATAATCTATAGCTTAATTAGAGTTTTAAGGCTTTGTTTGTAAGCAATGATAAAGCGGTTGAATTTATGCACAAATTTCTTTTTCCTGATTATGCTTTCTTATATCAGGGTTGTTTTAGGCGCAATGTCACTGTTGTTACCATATACGCATCTCTTGGGGAGGAGGCTCTATGTCACTCACTAAATGAGGTTCTCTCTCTCTCTCTCTCTCTCTCTCTCTCTCTCCTCTCCTCTCCCTCTCTCCCTCTCTCTGTATATATACATATACATGTTTATTAATTATATATATCTCTGTTTCTCTCTGTCTTAGACTCGCACACACATTCCTGTTGTTTGGCACAGTATGCTATGCAGAATAGGCTGCTTTCTGTACCATTTTTTTGTTGATTAGAGGCATGTATGTTTATTTACTTATTTAGTGATTTTAATTTTTAAACAGCGTATTAAGCACAAGCAATATATTTCTAATTTCATAGTGTGACTTACATATAGCTCATCCAAAATGTTGCAACCTAGTTGGGAAGCTTTTCAATGACTGGAGATGCTTTCTGGTGTCAGGTTTCTCTGTGTTTGAAAGAAAAAAAAATAGAGAAAATAAATGCATGGATGGTGTTGACATGTTAGTTCTACATTAGGGTTTGTTTGTCATTTGTCCTCAAAGTTTTTGTTCTACTACATAACCAACATAATTTTCATTTTATTTTTCTCCAGACGGAAGTTACAACTGTGATTTGTGGGCAAAAAGAACTTAAAAAACTTCTACACATAAGTGGACAACTAGACACAGTAAAGCGAATCATATGTCTGGATGACGAGATCCCGTCTAGTGCCTCATCTGTTGAAAGTCGATGGCAAATCACTTCATTTGATGATGTCGAGAAACTTGGCCGAGAAAACCCTGTTGATCCTGATTTACCTCTTCCAGCAGATATTGCCGTCATTATGTATACAAGTGGAAGCACTGGATTACCCAAGGTTTAAAGCTTCTATTATAGATTGTTATTTTGGTTTCTGCCTTTTTTTCCTTGCACTTTCAGACATGGTAGTCCTTCTAATTGGTTACTTAATCGTTGATTGTTGACTTGGGAGTTTGTGCGATGTTTGGGTCAATATTGCAACTCTTTTTCCTTTTACCTTCACATTGTCGACAGTTGATATATATTGAGTTTTGGTTTTGAAACAACCCTTGAAAAGTGCTTTTGTTACCCTGTTAAAGTTTTCAGAAGACAAGGATGCTTGATTGTGACATTTTTATAATGCACATTTCTAGTTTCTATCAGTATTAAACTGCTGCAGCATTATAAATGTCACTACTACCATACTCTTTTTCTTTTCATTTGATAAATTTCTTCTTATTAATATAGTCTTGAGTTAAATACTAAGATATGGTTGAAAGTCGCTTTGTAGCATCCATCTCCATCACATTTTCGGAACAAAGTTATCATGTGTATCAATATGGATGGAATTATTTAGTACAAGCATTGCAATTTGCTAATGTGAGCATTGCCTTATGGAGTTAGGGTACAGGGTGGTGAACACTAGATGGTTGCGTTCAATTAAATATTATCAATTTATGTCGTATGTGTAAATAGAATAGGCACTTGTTGCATTACATTTCCTTACATAATTTCCTCAGATATATGGAAAATTTTGTATTATACTCTATTCTGTACTGTTCTTTTTTACTTTTTGTATGCTTATTTGAGTTGGCATCTAATGCAAGTATAGGCATTCATCCAATCAACAACCACCACTAATTAACCTTTATCTTCACTTTTTACAGGGTGTAATGATGACACATGCTAATGTGCTAGCTGTAGTTTCTGCCGTCATGACTATTGTTCCTGGCCTTGGAAGCAAGGATGTTTATCTGGCATATCTTCCCCTTGCTCATATCCTTGAATTAGCAGCGGAGGTATGGAGAATATGTTAGCTGGCTAGATTGCATGGCTACAGTGATCCTTTGATAGTTTTTTTTTGTTAATAACGTTCACTAGCTGCGTTGTTATGTTCTTATATATTTCTGGTACTTGATTAACAAGTTTTACTATCTATGTTGAAGAACGTCATGGTTGCTGTTGGAAGTTCCATAGGGTATGGATCTCCATTGACCCTTATTGATACATCAAGTAAAATAAAAAGAGGAACAAGGGGGGATGCAACTGCACTTGCACCAACCGTATTGACAGCTGTCCCTGCAATTCTTGACCGTGTTCGAGATGGAGTGCTCAATAAGGTTTTGAAACTTCTTGTGCATATAATATATATACAAAATTACATGAGCTGATGCATATACAAATGCACATTATGCCAATTTTATCAACACTGTATCTTCATGATGCTTCAGGTAAATGCAAAGGGTGGACTAGCCAAGAGATTGTTTCACTTGGCATATGCTCGTAGGTTGTCTTCTGTGAATGGCAGTTGGTTTGGGGCTTGGGGCCTGGAAAAGTTTCTGTGGGACCTTCTTGTGTTTAGAAAGGTCCGTGCAGTTCTAGGAGGTCACGTTCGTTTTATCCTTTCTGGTGGTGCCCCTCTCTCGGGTGATACTCAAAGATTCATCAACATTTGCATTGGGTTAGTATGATTTTAGTACTTTTAACAGCTACAGCATAAGATGTTGTGAATCATGACCTTATCCTGTGATGTTGCTACTTTTTCGAGTGATTTTAATAGTTCATGAAAGTTTGCTTTGGGTTTACATGGTCTTAGTACTTTTAACTGCTCATCTTCTTTAAGTTGGCCAACTCTCATTTCACCTCGAGTGTTTTTCCAATCCTATAAAGTTTATGAATTCAAAGTCAAAGATTACCAGCAGGACAAATTCAGTGTTCTAAAAGGATTATGATACCCTATTTCTTTCTCCACAGTAAATAAAGTTTAGACAGTAATACTTATGGAAGAACTCAACTTGTATATTAATAAGAAGTTCCTAAGAATGTTAAAATTCAGGGGTGTGCGATGACTCATTATTCCATTCTTGTAAAGCAACAAATTTATTTGTGTTCCTGTTTTCTTTTGCTCTATTCTCATCATATCTCTTTATTGACAGTTCTCCAATTGGCCAAGGGTATGGCCTCACTGAAACTTGCGCTGGTGGGACATTCTCAGAGTTTGATGATACTTCTGTAGGTCGAGTTGGAGCTCCGCTTCCTTGCTCATTTATAAAGGTAAGAGATGACAGTGGGTTTTTATTTACATGTTTTCTGATTCATAATATCAACTTCTCTTTAAAAAGAAACATGAAAGAAAGAAACTTGTATGAAATCCTTATCATGATTCATGACTTATAGATGGAGGTGTTCATTTGTGCATTTCTGGATTGAATTGTCTGTTTTTTGTATCTGTTAAGGGCAAATTGCTTAAGAGCATTGTACTCTGTTTCCAAGGCATGAAGATGATATTTACTTGAATCATTTTAAAATATTTTATCTTCTGTATCCAGTTAATTGATTGGGCTGAAGGAGGATACCTGAAAACCGATACCCCAATGCCTCGTGGAGAGATAGTCATTGGTGGCCCAAATGTTACACTTGGTTATTTCAAAAATGAAGAAAAAACAAGAGAGTCATACAAGGTAGACTTACGGATATTTCATACCAAAACAATTGTTCATTTCAGTCACTTAGTGGAATTTTTGTTTTTGTTTTTGTTTTGGTCTTATCGTGAAAAGGTCGATGAGAAGGGAATGAGGTGGTTCTATACGGGTGACATAGGGCGATTTCATGCTGATGGTTGTCTTGAGATAATTGACCGTAAGAAGGATATAGTCAAACTTCAGCATGGGGAGTATGTCTCCTTAGGAAAGGTACGAGTGTTGCTAGATGAATGCAACTTTTCATCAGGTTTTCCTCGGAGACTAATGTTTCCTTTACAGGTTGAGGCTGCTCTTTCAGTTTGCCCCTACATCGACAACATCATGTTGCACGCTGATCCTTTTCATAGTTACTGTGTGGCTCTGGTGGTGGCTTCTCAAGTCACGGTGGAAGATTGGGCTTCAAAGCAAGGAATCGCTTTTACTGATTTTGCAGACTTGTGTTCGAAATCAGAAGCCATAAAAGAAGTGCAAGCATCACTTGTAAAGGTACGTACATCTTCTGGATAAATTTCTGTAACTTGAAACTTAGTGCAATCTATTTGAACATGCTTGGTGCCATCTGTTCTGCTTTGTTCTGATTCAAATATTTATGCTTCACCAATTAACAGGAAGCAAAGAATGCGCGTTTGGAGAAGTTTGAGATCCCTGCCAAAATCAAGTTGCTTTCGGAACCATGGACTCCAGAAACCGGCCTGGTCACTGCAGCCCTGAAGCTCAAGAGAGATGTCATTAGGAAGGCGTTCACAGAAGACCTCTCCAAGTTATACGCTTCGTGATAAATCGATGGAACCACCAGATTTCGTTTCTCCATTTTATTTGTGGCCTTGGGAGGTTTAATGCAAGCCAAAGGATTAGTGTTAGGGAAAATTCGTTGAGTTTACTTGTATTAAGCTACTCTCCAAGCAATAAGAGGAATGAGGATATTAGTGTAATTATGTTAGCTACTGAAGCAAAGTGGTCAGATTTTTTTATTGGTTATTTCGAGGTTGTTTTGTTTTTTTTGTCAAACGATAGATTTGTTAGTTCGAGGTTTTTTTGTTTCTTTGTTTTACAACATTGAAACAAAGACGATTCAAGGTAGGGGTGGGCAAATGGGTATATGAACCGCGCGTTGGGATGGGTAATCAAGGTTCGGGATGGGTATGGGTCGGTTTCAATTTTTTAATAGAGGAAACAGGGCGAGCCAGGTCGGGCCGATTCCAAATGTATAGAAAAAGGGGGTCCTGGACCGGCCTGTTTGTAATTGCAATGGACGGACTAGATTAAAAAGTAACATATCATCCAATATTCACTGTTAGTTTTTACCCTAGTCTGCTCTTTGATTACAGACTCGAGTCCTCAACTCTTTGTCTCTCGCGCGTGTCATCCCCTCCTTCCACGGTTCCACCCACACTCCGTCACTACCCATCAGCCATCTCCTCCACCACCCTGACATCACCGCCGTCGTGAGTCTGGGCCTTGGCCACCACCACGACGGTTGATTTTCTCAATTGTTCTCCTCGACGACATCTCAGACTTAGAGAACCCAGGACACCCACACCACCCATCTTCTCGATTCTCCTTCTCTCCTCCCCGACGACATCATCACTGTCGTGACCACCAACAGTTCATCGTCGTCGCTAGTTCAAGTGAATTCTTTAACCTCTAATGTTAATTGATGCTTAAAAACCTGCCAAATCTAAACCTAGTCCTTCCCATATTTTGCATAATTTCTTGTGTGTTTGTAGTTTGATCTATTGGTATGTATGTAATTCTGATGTGGGTTTTCGATTTGAATTGGACTGTAGTTCTTGAGCTAATTCTTATCTATAAGTTTTTTTTTTTTTTTTTTTTTTTTTACATTGTTGTAGAATATTGTTGTTGATAGGGTTTGCTTAGATCATATCTGTTTCATAGGTTCACGTCTAGGAATATTTAGTCAGATGGATCTAAGTAGCATATAAGTCTCAATCTGGGATTGATCGAATTCTGCATTTTCTTATTAAAGTTTAAGTCTTCATGAAAATATCGTTCAAATTTAGCAGGTGATCCTAACTAGATCTCTTGGTATATTTTATTTGTTCCTGCAGACGATTTTACGGAAGTTGGATTTGCATTATCTCAAAGCCAAGTAGAAGGCCATGAGGAAAGAGAGTAATTGATCCCTTTAGATCATCTCTCCTTCCTCAAATAGTGGAGTTATTGATATGCCTCCAAAACTGGTTAAGAAGTGAACAAATTAGCAACATTGAGTATGAAGCAAATCTGGCCGAGCTTGAATTTTATCAAGAGTGTGAAGAAGGTAATTATTTTGTTTTGTATAGTTTGGTTTATATTAATGGTTGTCTTCTATTCATTTACAATTAACGTGCTTCTTTTGTTCTTTGTTGTAGAATATAAAAGAAAAAAAACAAATACTATATCTACAAATTCAACCCTCTCACCATGGGTTCTTGAAATTGAAGCTCCTCAAACAACTCGAAAGAATAAAAGCAAAGAATTGTGCTAATATCTCAAATGAATAAACTTTAAATTTCAATGATTCAATTAGGATAATATGATATTGAATGTTAAAAATGTCATGTTTATATTCTATTTTTCCTTATAGATTCAATGAGGAATATTGTTGGAACTTGGACGTTGGATATGATTTCGGATGTTAATTTGGAATTTATTGTGGATGTCATGTTTATGTTATTTTGGATTATTTGATTTTGGACTTCGAATTTGGATGTTTCGAACTCTCGGATGTTATTTTCTATGTTGATTTGATCTTTAGATGTCTTGGATGTTATTTTGAATGTCTTGGATTTAATGTATCGAACAATGTTGGACAATGTAATGTTGTTATTTTGGATGTAATGTTAATCTATGGACTTAGATGTTGGACTTTGTAATGTTTGGATGTGTTGTGCAAACTGTAAAATCTGTATTCTGAGAATTTGTGTAGTTGTGCTACGGTAAAAATTCAGTTTTTTTTCCCCACAAAAAAAAAGGAGGACTGTGGACTCAGTCCGTTTCAAATGGGCTGGATTAGGTCCGATTCCTGTATTAAAATTTGTTGTACCCGTCCCAGTCTGGCCTATTTTTTTTAACCTAAGTCTGGTCTGGTCCTTTCAAAATTGGGCCCGACCTGGTCCGTGCCCAACCCTAATTCAAGATACCAATTTTTTAGAATGCCACCATCCTCTCTGTATTTTTTTATTTATTTAAGTTGATTTTTTAACCTGTATTTTTCGTTCGTCTTGTCCACATTTTTTTTGTTGCGGCAAAATTTAGGTTTCGAAGAATTTGACAATCACTTAGTACCACAGTTGGTCCCATGGTTGATACTCAATTATTACGTATTATGGGATTTAGGCTACCATTTAGCGTAATTTTATCATTGGTTCTTTGTATACTCATTTTTTTTCTTTGGACAGCCCACATATTTTTCTTATTTTAATGATCATTGTATCCTATTGTTTAAGTTACCAAAACACGCAACTAAGTTTTAGGGAATAATTGTTAGGTATAAAAAAAATAAAATAAAAAATGAATGGGTTTAGTGTTGGAGCTAAATCGTGTTGCAGTTGCAGCACCACCCAACTCTCTCTCAGTCGCCCTGCCCTCTCTTTCATCGGTGCACAACCACCCATATCCTTTATCCGCTCTCTTATCAATTTTTGACTCGTCACCGTACTAATGGTGACCGGCGCTTCTCCCACCTTCAAATCGACAGGTTTGCAGACAATCATTTTCCAACCACCTAGAGTGGTGCCTTAGCTTACAATAAAAGAAGAAAAGTCGTTGTTTCTCAAATTTCTTAGTGCAATGGGTCTCCATAGCTTTTTGCCAACAATTTTAGGGTGTTCAGAGATAAAAATTGGGAATACATTGAACCACTAAATAAAATCCAATGGTTAATTCCTATACGATAACTTCTTGAATCAAGCAACGTGAAATTTGAAACATGTGATACCATATAAAGTTTAAAACACGTGACGTCGTACTAGATTTTGTAAACAACACAGAGGAATAATGAAAGCAATATCGTATTGAAGTAATTGTAATTGCTTTGGTAGATATGCTCTTCAAGCGCTTGAACCATCTCGGATCATAGCTAGAAAAATAGAAGCAGGGAGGTGAGCAATAACATGAAATGCACACAACGGTGGAAAAATATGGGTACGCATATTTTCAGACAAAGCTGTTACTATAAGACCTATATAAACACCTATGGGTTCGGGAAAAGGATCTCCCGAATATTGGGCTACTATTGTTAAACTCGGTAGAATACTTTATGAAATGAACAGAGTAACAAAAATATAGCTAGAAGGACTATTTCAATAGCAGCATCTAAAATGCCTATACGAACTCAATTCGTTCTTTTGGTTAGAAATAACACGATAGCGTTGAGAAGATATAGTGTATTCACTTTCCAATTCATGGACCTTAAAATGTTTCATTTCATTATTGGTATATAAGAAAAGTAAAGGTAGGGTTTGGAAATGAAATTTTCAGCTTGGAAAGGGACTTATCTGGTCTGGTCAAGAAAGGGAGAAGGGAAATATCTGGTCTGGTCCATTCTCCACGCTCAATGCTATGAACCTGACTTGGAGAGTTGAGGCAGCCCAACTAGAAGCATTCCCATGTGCTCTCTGTTTTTTTTGGTCAAATGATATATTTATTCGATTAGATGTTAAATTAGGGAGCCACGAGGTTCGCTTTTTTTTTTTTTTTTTGGTCAAACGATAGATTTATTAGATTAGATGTTAAATTAGAGAGCCAACGAGGTTTGAACCATTATGGTAGAGGGCCACTTACCCCATGTGCTCCATTAGTTAGTTAGTTTGTTTCCATCAACTTTCAATCCTTTTAACTTTATGCTTCATTTACTTTCCCTTTCAATAATCTTTAACCAAAAGAAAAAAAAGTTTAGCAATGCTCTTCAACTTTGGATCTTATTTCGGTTTGCAAAAAGTTTCAATTTGGGTTTTAATCCTCTTAAACTTTCAGTGCATGCATCTGTGAGTCTTTCGGCCCCTAGAAGTGGGGACTATTGTGGTGAAGCCACCTATTGGTCACTTTAATTCTACATTAAAAAAAAATATATATATATATATATATATAGACACATACCCCCAACGGTCAATTCTGTCAACAAAATGATACATTTACAAGGTAGAATAGTAAATGTTTAAGATTATGATAATTTGAGCTTGAGAAAAATACAGAGGGTAACTTACACATCAACAACAAATTTAAAAGCTTTCATTGTACCAAATGGCCACAAATAACGCTTTACTTGATAGAAAAATTGACCAACCTAACCGGAAGGTGTTGGGGGAAGCGATAATATTGGCACGAATTAAAAGTTTTGAGGGAGCAAACTTAAAAGATTTTTTATTTATTTTTATTTTTTATTTTATAATTTATTTATTTTATTAAAAAGGGACTAGAAATGATAATATTGGCACAAATTAAAATTCAAAGAAGCATTTCAGCCTCCCTGAATCACATAATGATGGTTAGGAAGAGGCTGAAATGTCTCTATGAGTCTTTTCAGTATTTGAAAAAATAGACTACCATAACGAAACCACTTGCTAATCTTTTTCAAAAAAAAAAAAAAAAAAAAAAAGTTCAGATAATAAAACGTCACAAGACATAATTAAATTAAGGAGGTATTGATTTTTCTTATGTCTTCCAAACCTCTTGTCGATCTTGTTAGCAACTGTTGAGTGACCTATATCTTGATACACGAAAAATGTAGACCAATTTGTAGAAAACGAGGCATGAATGAGAGGTTTTGGAGATAGGGATTTGCATAATTGTCCCGGAAAATCTTCACAGAGAGAAAAAACAAGTCCATTTTTTCACATAATCCTCATAGCTTTCCAAGGAAATTTGGAATATCAAGGCCTTGACTACACATTTGTAGTGAAAACAATCTTCTTGGAGAAAGGTTATGCACCCACACCGTAGCTTTCTTCCAAGATGTGATATGACGAAAAAACAGC